GCGGAAGGTCTTTTGAAGGATGTTACTGCAAAATTTAATGTCATCTTTACTGAAAATAGCTGCAAACACATACATAAATGCCATAGTCCAGTCCCCATCAGGAAAATGGCTTTATACATGACAAGTTGGCCGAGTGGTTAAGGCGATGGACTACTAATCCATTGTGCTCTGCACGCGTGCGTGGGTTTGAATTCCATCCTTGTCGATTATATGTTCTGGTGTTTGAAAGAGGCCGGTGCTTTCGTGACAGGTGTTTTACTCTCACCCTCTTATCGTTTTGAAGGATGTTGTTGCAAAATTTAAAGTCATCTTTACTAAAAATAGCTGCAAATACATACAGAAATGCCATAGTCCAGCCCCCATCAGGAAAGTGAGTACATACATGACGAGGTGGCTGAATCTATTAAATCCCATTCTTGTCGTTCATATGCTCTGTCGTTCATATGGCAAAACTGAAAGTCATCTTACCGAAAATAGTTGCAGAAACATACATTTACAAATATGTGCCACAGTCCAGCCTCCACCAGACAAAAAAGGAAAATATTTGACGAGGTGGTTAAGGCAATGGACTGCTAATACATTGTGCTCTGTACACGTGGGTTCGAATCCCATCCTTGTCGCTCGTGTGCTCTGGCATTTGACAGAGCCTGGGGCTTCCTTGGAAGTTCTTTTACTCGCACCCTCTCAGCGTTTTGAAGGATGTTGTTGCAAAATTTAATGTCACCTTTACTGAAAATAGCTGCAAATACATACATAAATGCCATAGTCCAGGACTTCCGGTTGGGTGAGCGGTAAGATGGCAGCATAGAACGTACTCTCCTGGTCAAGGTGTTCAAAAAGCCCTTATACTTTTACCAATTCAAGTGAGCTTTGCGCTTGATGACTTCAAAATGAATGGGGCAAAACCTAAAAAGGGGAATTCAAAGCCAAAATTAAGCGAGGAGGAAAAGGAGACGAGGAATGATAACGACAAGTTAGGCCTACCTGAGAAAGAACATGGCGCCAAAACTTTGCGAGCAGTGAGAGCACTCAGCAGAGATATCTCCGAACTGAAGACGGATTTAAGAAAAGAATTTAGCCAATTCAAAGAAGAGTTTAAAAAGGATATGAAAACAGAAGTGGACAAGCTGAAAAGCGACATAAACCAGAAGCTTGAAGGCATCACAGAAGATATTCAGTCACATGGCACAAGACTGAATGAAGCAGAGGATCGAATAACTGAACTCGAGTCGGCAAACCTTGAACTAAAGGACGTTTTACTGCACACCTTGAAAGAGCAAAAAATGATGCAGAATAAGGTCACAGATCTCGAGGGCCGATCACGACGAAATAATATCAGAATATACGGTATTAAAGAAGGAGCAGAATGGACCTCCATGATTAATTTCATCACGTCTTTGCTAAAAACTGAGCTCTCACTGGACTCCAATTTAGACCTGCAGGTACAGAGAGCGCACAGATGAACCGCAACACGATGGCAAGCAGATTTTCTTTGCGCATGATTTCCCCATGGAGATTAATGCAGAACTGAAGGAATATAAAGAAGTAAAAAAAAGTCCTCAAGGAGAACAAAATCAGATTTCAGACGCCCTACCCAGCCAAGATGCGAATACACTGGGAGACAGGACCACAACTTTACGAAAGCGTGGCTGAAGCTACGAAAGATTTGAATAAGAGAGGATATACGGTAGATCTGACGATGACGCAGCAGGTATCCGAAGACCCCGGGACTGGAGCTGGGTTTTGCTGGGTCAAACGTGGCCCACAACTTTGAAAGCCAATGTTCTTTTTTCTTTGTTTATTTTTATTATCATTTTTGTTAGTTCTAAAGATTGCCAACTTAACTTTCTGAAATTACCATGCAGAGATATGTTAAAATTGCATCTTTAAATGTAAATGGGTTAAATAATCCAATTAAGAGGAGTAAGGTTATAGCCAAAATAAAATGTGAAAAAATCAAATCATATTCTTGCAAGAAACACACCTTTCCCCATCTGAACATGATAAACTTAAAAAAATTGGATATACACAAACTTTTTATAGTTCTTTTAGGAAAAATAATAAAAAAGGCAGTTTCAATATCAGTACATAATTCTCTTATTTTTGAATTGCTAAAAGAGATATCAGATAAAGAAGGCAGATATATTTTGCTTCAGGGAAAACTAAATGAACAATTCATCACTTTAGTAAATGTATATGCACCCCCTGGCAGTAAAACGCTGTTCAATACAATCATCAACCTTTTGGCTATGGAGACTAAGGGAATAACAATATGTGGAGGTGATTTCAATATAGTTCATAACCAACAAAAGGACACTTCCAATAATGAAAGAATTAAAACGCCTCAATTAAGAAGTTTTTAGAATTCATTAAAAGATCTTGGAGTATTAGATGTTTGGAGAGATCTTCACCCCTCAAAACGGGAATACTCTTATTATTATTCACCCCATGCAGTTTACAATAGGATTGATTATTTTTTTATGTTTAGCAGGGACAGACACAGGGTAAAAGAATGTGAAATGAAAGCGGCCGATGTATCAGATCATGCAACATTATACCTCACTTTAAATTTGAATGACAGAAAAGCTGACAAAATATGGAGGCTAAATACAAGTATACTTGGGAAAACAGAAGTAGTGGCCCAAAACAAATCAGAAATTGAATTATACGTAGAGAATAATGATAATGGGGAAGTTAGTCCTATAATCTTATGGGATGCAGCTAAAGCTGTATTACGAGGCAAGATCATTTCTATTACAACAACCCTTAAGAAGATAAAAGAACTTTGATTTAGGAATCTTGAAGATGAATTAAAGCAATTAACAGAACAACATGCAACTAGTAAAGATACCCAGATTTTGAAACAGATCAAAAATATAAAAAATAAAATAGATGAGATGTATAGAGAGGACATAAAGAAAAAAATAAAAATTCTTAAGGCAAGCCTTTTATGAAACGGGACCAAAAGCAACAAAAAGGCTAGCATGGAAACTTAAAAAACAACAACAAAAGGTTTCAATTCATAAGATAAAGGACCCCAACTCAGGAAAAATATTGTATAGTCTGGATAAAATTAAAGAGGCATTTGAAACCTATTATAAATCTTTATACTCAAAACAGACACAGGTAAATAATAAATCAATTAAAGCTTTTTTGGATTCTCTTGATCTTCCCTGTATTGGATGAGAACAAATTAGTCTCCTAACAAAAGAAATTATACAGGAGGAATTAGATAAAGCTATAAATAATCTTAAAAATAATAAAACACCCGGCAATGATGGTCTACCTTCTGAGTGGTTCAAAACATTTAAAAAAGAGATCTCACCTCTTCTTATATCATCATTTAATTGGACACTTAAAGAGGCAGAAATTCCCCCTTCTTGGAGGGAAGCAATTATCTCAGTCATACCTAAAGAGGGGAAGGATAAAACTCTTTGTAGTTCATTTAGACCTGTGTCTGTTTTAAATGTAGACTATAAATTATTTGCCTTTATTTTAGCCAAGAGACTTGAAACATTTTTACCTGATTTGATAGACATAGATCAAACAGGGTTTATTAGAGGACGGCAGAATCAAGATAATATAAGAAGGACACTTCAAGCAATACGACAAATTAAAAAAGATCACATTAAAGCAATTTTAGTTAGCCTAGATGCAGAGAAAGCTTTTGACTGTGTAAATTGGGAATATTTATTTAATGTTTGATATTTCGATTACCAAAAATACAGTTAGAAGCTTTCAATGTACATATTTAAACCCAGAGGCTTGGATAAAAATAAATGGTTGTCTTTCAAAAAAGATAAAACTAGACAAAGGAACTGATGTTTGCCCTGATGTTTGCCATGTACATTGAACCTCTAGCCCAGGCAATTAGAGAAGAACAATCAATTAGGGGGATTAACATTAATAAGGTAGACCATAAAATTGCTCTATATGCGGATGATGTGCTAGTATATCTCTCCAATCCAGATGAATCACTTTCTAGTCTGCTACTTGTTCTTGAAAGGTTTGGACAACTCTCTGGGTACAAATTAAATATACAAAAAACTCAAATTTTATAATTTGGCTACAACCAAACAATAAACTTCAACATAAATTAAATATTAATTGGAAACTAAACTCCCTTAAATACTTAGGAGTATGGTTAACACAAGATGCAGCTGACCTGTAATGTCACTGACTCGGTCCCAGTCATTCCCCTCGCTGGCCAGCAGAGGTCACCGTCACCGGACATCTAACCATGACGTCATGCACAAACACTGATTGCCACACACACCTGCAGCACATCACACTGATAAACCACGCTCACTCATATAAGCAGCTCACACACTCAGTCCTGTGCGAAGATTGGTGGGAGATGGATTTATGAAAAAGCAAACTTGGAAGAATTTATGTCAGTTAGTGAGGAAGGGTTAAAAACACTTGATAAAATGGAGATATCTGACAATGATTAAATAAACAACAGAATAGTAGCAGTAACTAGAATTGTACATTTCCTAAAGGAAATGTGAATGGGGTTTGCGTGGCAAATCGATGGGGTACAAAATGGTACTAAACTGGGCAATAGCATTGGAAAGGTAAGAAATTGTTAAATTCATGTGTTTTTGTGGTTGCTAGGGTATTGTACATGGTTGCTAGGCTGTGGCAACGCCATTTTAATAGCTGAAGACAATAGAGATTTGATCAGCCTGCATCAAAAAATGCCAAACCCTGTGTTTCTACATTCCTGTGCTGAAATATGGCTTGTTTATGTTGTTATATGGTTGTTAGGGGGCTTAAAGTGGTTGCTAGGGGGTGTTTCCAATGAATGGTGTTTATATGAAACCTTTGTTTTCTCAATGATTTTTTTTGGCATAAAGACAAATCAATATTATGTATTTATATAGTGTACAGTTTTTTTTTATTATTTTTTTTTTTTTACTACAAATTTACCAGTGCAACTAAATTGAATATATTAAATATTGTTGTTAAGTACGTATGACATAGTGAAGATACTTGGATTCAGGATTTTTTTTTTATTTTATTTTTTTTACAAAATCAACACCAAAACAAAATCATGATAACTCAGGGATGACATAAGTGAGAATTCAAATGCCGTTTATGAACCAAGTAGTGTCAAAGCAAGCAATAGGGCTGCATGATAACAAAAATCTAACATATTTTGTTATTCCTGCAATTGTATATTGCAATATGAATACAAAGTTTAGATTGATTGAGATGATTATGTAGTGGGAATGCATTTGTGTAAAATCTAAGGAAAAATCTACAATCATAGATAAATGCATAAAAATATATAATTAAAATGAACAGTGTTTTCTCAGTCTCGGGTAAATCAGGTAATAATAAAATAATTCAGTAAAATTAATTGTCATTAAAAAATTTAAAATGGACTCTTATTAAACTCTTATTCCTGATTGCTTTTAAAATCATTATATAGTCGCAAACCTCAAAAACACATGCAAATTATACAACAAACTCAGTGTTGCATATCCTGTGATGTGTCTATTGTGAATGATAACATTGCAATAATAGAGCTGCACAATATATTGTTACAGCTTCATCAGGCAGAGTCAAAATCAGAAGCAAACAGCACTGTCAGGTAATCCTCAAAGAAATACAAAATCCAGGCAGACATTAAACGATTAATAATCATAAAACAAAGAAATTCAAAAAACCTGATAATGTAAAACAAGAGAACCATTATACGTGTTGGTGTGTTTCCTCTCGGTGCTCCAGTTTCCCCCACAAGTTCAAAGAAATGTGGTAGAGGTGAATTGGGTAAGCTAAATTGTCTGTAATGTATGTGTGTGAATAAGGGTGTATGGGTGTTTCTCAGTGATAGGTTGTGGTTGAAAGGGCATTCACTATGTAAAACAAATGCTGGATAAGTTGGCGGTTCATTCCACTGTGATGACCACAGATTAATAAAGGGACTAAGTCAAAAAGAAAATGAATGAATGAATGAAAAAAATGCACATCATGTAGGAACTTCATATCTTCCAAATTCTTCCAGAAAATGTTAAATGTCTCTGATATTGCATACAGAAAAATATTATATCCTCAAGAAGACACAGATCCCTTTCCAATTCAGCATGTGCAGGTTTCTGCACACAGTGTAAAATGTTTTCTCAAAAATGTCTTTTATGTAGACAATGAAAAAGTCCAAAGCTGGTAAGTGGTGTCTCCGCTAAATCTGGTGAAAGGATGCCAAACTATCATCAATATATAATTCCTGAAACCTGAATCAGTTCATCCTGGCTAAAAGGAATGATTCAAACAAATTGGACAATCCATGTGCAGTTTCTGATGTGTGAGTCTTAAATAGTCCACAAAAGAGAAAAAGGTGAAACAGCAATTAAGGAAATTGTCCTGATAAAGTGTCATCTGTAGAGGTGCAAAGCTTTATGGGAAATGTAATCCAGATGTGGAATAGAGTGCCATTTAGTAGAAGTTGTGCACACCCCAGCTGGTGATCATAACAGCTACATTCACCGTGGGGAAAAATAAACGTAACACTTTAAAATATGGGACACATAGTTAATGTTAGTTAATGTTTTTTCTAACTTGACCAAACAATGAATTAATGATACATAAATTAGTTAATGTTCGTAAATACATTAATTAACATTAATTATGTGCCCTGTAGTGTAAAGTGTTACGTTTAGGAAGTTTATCAGGTGGATTGGCTGAGGAAGCATAGGGTCTGGAGAAGAGAAGTAGAAAAGGTACAAGAGGGAGAAAAAGTTGTGACAGATCTTTCTGAAGTGCGATGGCTAGTTAAAAAAAAAACACCCAACAAACAAACAAACAAACAAACAAAAGAAAACACACACACACACACACACATTGTTCATCACATATCAAAAAAACAAAAAAATCTTGGCCATTTTTCATCCCAAAACTTTGTGGAAACTCCAAATCCAGCATCACCCTACTGGATTTGATTTTTCAGACACTGGGCAAGGTTTTTTAAAAATATGTCATTGCCCAAAGGGGTCAAATGAACTCTATCATGTAAGAAATGGCCAGGATCTTTATATGTTATCTCTGGGTGATGAACAATGGCACCACCAACTGACACCATAATAGTAGCCATCGCATGGTTGACAAAGCGCCGCGCCCTGTCAACCTTCCTCAGACTTTCAGCAGACCTCCACAGGCATCGCTGGGTGATGGCAGAGAAGATGATCTTCATCTGAGGGAACTGCCTATGGAGGTCTTGCAAGTCCTGCTTCATCACTGCGGCAAGTATAACACTCTTGATGTTACCGAGGTCATTTCCGCCACAGTGAATAAGCAGGACATCTGGCACAGCTCTTCCTTCAAGACAGCGGTGAAAGAAAGAGACAAGGTTTCTCCAGACCAAGCCTCCACAGCCAAACCACCTGATATGGGCGTTGAGACCAAGGTTGGTCCCGACAGTTTGCCTTGCCTGTTCTTCCCCACGGCGAATGTAGCTGTCACCAATTACATATACGATGGGTCCTGTTGATTGAGAAAGAATAAGAATGTCAGTTTTCAATAAAACAAAAAAATTATATATATATATATTATCTTTTTTTTTTACTTTAAAGATGCATTACATTTATTTATTTATTTTTATCTAAAATTAAATAATGAAAATAAATAAAATATATAACCTAAGTAACATTGATATATGTTATAGTTTCGGACAGAATGAATACTCATGATAACACTACTGTTTAACTCTTGGGTGAAAAATTCCAATTCAACATTATCTTCTTTTCCTCCATTTGGAATGGTTACAGGTGTGTTTTCACGTGACCCTGTTACTGCACAGAACTGCAGTACACTGCAAATTTTAGATAGTAGATTTAACTACCTTGGAGTTAAAATTAACACTCCCTCAGAGTTTATATGGGAACCACTATAAGTGTTAAAAATAACACTTTTGAAAGTGTTAACATTGTCAACACCAAGAGAGTGTTATTTAACAAACTCTTATTGTGTAAAATATCTGTTAAATTTCCAAAAAAATACCAGCAGCTGTGGTTGCCAGAATTTTTCTGTGAAAAACATGGAAGTTTTATGTAACTGTATAAATTTACAAAAAATAACAATGTTTCATGAACTAATACATTGTTTATTTTACAAAATCATAGCTTGGTGCATAAAAATGTAAATTCTTTAGATGCAATAATGTTTGCATGTGTGATAGCAATTAACAGATTTTGACTGCATTAGTAACTACACAGTTACCTTTAAACAAAAGAAGATGGAGCATAACATCAAATTTTTTCAGTTCTTCTTGGACTTGAACAGAGACGCTATTATCCTCCACAATGGTGACACAAAAACCGTTTTGCTGTTTTTCTTTCTTTTTTTTCATTTTTGGATTTTACGGAAAAATACCAGCAGCTGTGTTCGCCAGTAATCTGCTGTTTTTAACATTCATAAATTCAGTTTACAGAATATTTCTGTTAAAAACACATTCAACAGTCTGTATTTTTTATCGATTTCACACTGCAAATTTTAGATTTGGTAGATTTTACTACCTTAGAGTTAAAATTAACACTCCCTCAGTGTTTATATGGGAACCATTATAAGTGTTAAAATAACACTTTTGAAAATGTTAAAATTTTTAACACCCATAGTGTTAATTAGCAAACTCTTATTGTGTAAAATATCTGTTAAATGTATGTCAAAATACTGGCAGCAGTGGTTGCCAGTAATCTGCTGTTTTCAACATTTTACATTCGTAAATTCAGTTTCCAGAATATTTCTGTTAAAAATACATCCCATAGTCTGTATTTTTCATTCGAACACACTTAAGCCTTAAATTCCAAAGCAAAATCCTAACTAGTGTCCTCACTACAGAGGGCTGAACACTCAGACAGTGATGAAGTTAATGAGACAATTAAGTGTCTAATTAAAGGAGGATTGAGAATTGTTGATGAACAACTGTTAACAAGCAGAATCACTGAAGGACAGAAACACACAAGCCAAAACCAAAAATGAAATCAACTGAGGAAAAAAAAAAACTATAACTAAAATAATAATCAATAAAAATAAAACAAATTACACAATAAAAATTTTTTATTTTTCAACATCTTTAAAAAAAAACTCATCACATTAAACAACTTATCATGGAGCTTCACCTATTACTGACCTTTGACTTTATTTCTGTCATGTGAACAAAAGCTCTTAATAAAATTTCCGTTGTTCATTTGAAGTCACCATAATGGAGGACAGAGTCTGCTTTAGTCAGGCTCTTCAACTTCTTACTATAAAAGCCTTTTATTTTGGCTGCTATAATTAGTGTTAATCACACTATTTATACATATAGCATAGAAAGCCAAAAGAAAATTAAGTGTCAGTCTGAAGAGATTATTAATGATAACATAGCCTTCCTTTCCTGCTTGTTTTCTAATTCAGTATCATATTAGTTATGTGTGAGAAATAAATAATATACATAAATGAAACAACTTAAGCTCCAACAATTAATGACTTTATAACAGGTTTAAATCACCATTTACAATGAGAATGTTTGATCTATGGCAGAACTTAAAAACACCCAGACATTAACAATTAGTCTTTGAATCTCAATAATGGTGACAAACAAAAAAAATAAAAATCAAGTAAAAAAAACACTCTACTGAAATATCACCTCCCAAAAACAACACAAAATAAAGGAAAAGAAAGAGATTGTAAGAACATAAAGCTGCATAATTTATTCATGCTGCAATGCATGCTGGGAGCTTTGTACTATGCTGGCACCCAGCATACATTGCGGCATGAACTATGCAGCTTTTTTTTAGCAACCACGGTTGAGGTTCATATCCTGATTCTTGATGTCTGTGTGTCAGAATGAGCAAGCTGGAGCTTGAATGTTTAGTGCATAAAACTTTAATTATTAATTGCATCCTAATTGTTTATTGAATCTTCTAAGAAGTAGTGTTGTCCCATGCAGTTTTAATGCAGCTATATTTGCATAATTTTATCAATCAACTTTCTAAACACCTTGGGCCTGTTTCAGTAAGGAGGTTCAAACAACTCAGAGTTTAAACTTGAACTCTGAGTTGATTTACCGAGAGATTAAAAACTCAGAGTTTTTGGTTTCAGAACAGCTGATCTGAGTTGGGTCAATCAACTTCGAGTAGACCAACTCAGAGTTAAGCGCACACACCGTGACTTTAAAAAGGCATTATCAGTGGAGCGCAGACATTACGAGTGACTATGGCAATATCTTATAAAAGAGATCACCATCTTTCTCTAGCTGAACTTGATGTTCTCATGCAAAGTTATAGCAAATATGAGCGTATATATTTGAAAAGAAGCAACCATCAGTGAAGAAGAGACAGTTAGCATGGGAAAACAGCTGCTCAAGTTAATGCCTAATTTAACTTTTTAAGTATTTAAATATTTAAGTATAATAAAATAAGTAATGTAATTTGTGACGTTTATATACTTTTTTCTAAACTTTTTTATACATTTATTAGTTTTAAATGATTTAACAGTGCACTTGTGTGTCTGCCTTTTTTATTGATCAAGTAATAGAGGTTGATATAACATTAAGAAGGTAAGCAGTACTAAAAATATTTTTTTGAAAGAATAATAATCCCATTAATCTAGTAACAGTGCATATCGAAGGTGAATTCAATTTAATTATTTATTAAAAAAGCATAAGCCATTCTAGTACAGTTCTTCTGTGTGTGACTAAAATGTAGGCAATAGCTATGTTTCCATCCAAATATATTACATAAATTTATGTGCAAAACTGGAATATTGCATAAAAGATGCGAATAAAATTCCATCCAACGAGTCAAAGAGAAAAAAAATTGTCACTTCCTGATTAAACTGGCATCAAATATCAATAGTAAAAACAGAATTTACTGTGGTAGAAGAAGCTGCGTCAATTAATTCTTTATTTAGCCTAATTAATGTACTTGCGCCTCGATGTCAGAAGACCATGCTGAAACACAATGAACACGTGGGGGCGTCTGAAGCCATGAGACACGGAGACTCTTGACACGCACCAGACGATCGGAGGTAATTAATAATATACACTAATACTGAAACAGTTCAGGCATTTTAGAATGACTAAAACAATATTTAAGACGTGTTACAGTGTTCTCAGCCTCCATTTACACACATTTTCATTATCATATGATCATGATCTTTTTTTTAATGTACATACTGTAATTTGTTCAGTAAAAGTGTTTCCATCGTAGTTTATGCGCACATTTTCTATCGAATAAAAGTTTATCCTACTCAGTTATGTGCGTTTTCTTATGCATATTTTAAAAAGTTATGTGCATCATGACGTTTCTATCAATCGTTTTTATGCACGTATCCAAAATGAGCATTAAAATAGGTGTGTGGAAATGTAAGGCTCAGGCAAGAAATACCGCTTCATCTTTAAAAAAGGGGAGGAGACCGACAGAAACTCTGAGTTTAGAGAATAAAACCTGCTTCTGACCAGGTTAGATTCACAGAGTAAGTTACCACAGTAACTGACTCTGAGTTAAAGTTACCTTTCTTTCAGAAACAGGCTTGACTTACCCTGCTTTCTCGAGTTTAACAAACCTGCCATTTTGAAACGGAAAACCCAGAGTTTCTCTCATTTCAGGGTTAAAATACTCTGAGTTTTCAGTTAACCTCCTTTCTGAAACAGGCCCTAGGTGTTTTAGAATGACCAAAACAACATTTTAGACGCTCTGCAGTGTGCTCAGCCTGCTGGTTTGTGCATTCACACACATTTGTATCATCATATAATCTCTTATAACCAACCTTTTTTAATGCACAAACTGGAATTTGTTCAGTAAAGGTGCTTGCGTACTTTACGTAAGTTTATCTTTTCTAATAAAATAAAAAGTTTATCCTACTCAGTTATGCGCATGTTTTTTATGCCAATATTTCAAAAGTTATGTGCATCATGACATTTCCATCAACTAATTTTTTTATGCTCATAGCCCATCCAAAATGCACTTAAAAATAGGTGGCTGGAAACGTATGGCTAAGCGAGAAAAAGGAAAGGAGACTGACAAAAACTCACGAGTTTAGAGAATAAAACCTGCTACTGACCAGGTAGGTTCACAGAGTAAGTTACCACGGTAACTGACTCGCAGTTAAAGTTAGATCTCTTTCAGAAACTGGCTTACCCTGCTTTCTCAAGTTTGACAAACCTGCCATTTTGAAATGATAACCCAGACTTTCTCTCATTTCAGGATTAAAATACTCTGAGTTTTTACTTGACCTCCATTCTGAAACAGGGCCCTGAACTCAAATGCTATTGTTTTAGAACTTCAATTGCCTATTGGAGAAATGACCAGGATTAATAAACTTGCTCCACAAACAAATGTGTTCATGACTATACATACAAAAAACAATAAAATAAGAAAATATGACTTTGCAACATCAAGCAGCGTTAGGCATGGGCCAGTATAAGATTCTGACGGTATGATAAGCTTGAATAAAAATATCATGGTTTAACTGTACTTTTTCCCGTTGAACAAAATATTTTCATTGGAGAAACTTTTACAATATCTTGGAGCAGTAAACATGTCTGGAAAAATCATTCAAATTAATAATTGACAACTGCTGTCTTCATTTGTTTTAAAAATACAGATTTATTTACAATTTAAAACCTCATAATTTGAATACATTTTCTCCTGGAGATACTGTTGTCCTAAAAAACTTAAAATAAAACATTTTTAAAAAGTATATACTGTAGGAACAATACAGCAGAAAATATTGGCGGTTTTAAAACCTTGACTTTTCTCAAACCGAGGTATACCTTGTAAACTGTCCCTTGCCTAAGCAGCATGACATGGTTTTTAGGATCTAAAAATTCATCCTTTAAAAAAAAAAGTCTCAAGCAAAAAGATTTCAATGGCTGCGCCTGCTGGTACATGGAGAATTTGGTCAATACTGACAAACTTTACGCTCAAATGTTTGCATATCATCAGCATGCTGTAATCAATTTCTTAAACAGCAAAAGTCATTTTTAGACTAGTTTTAGACTAGTTTGGCCAGTGTTTGTTTTGTCTCATGTCATTCCACAGCAACATCATATAGTTTAGAATACTGTGCAATGTTTTATAATAATTAATTATTTTAGTGTCCATTTCATTTAGCATATTTAATATTTGGGGCATCCACGTTTTCTGACATACTTTAAACCAGAGTTTCTGCAGGTTTCACCAAATTAAATTTAAGACATTTTTAAGACCATTATGAATGAAATTTTAGACTCATAAAGGGCTAAAGATTTTTTCAAATGGCCCAGATAGAAAGGATTTTATTTTCCCTATCAAAAAATAAATAATAATAATTTTATACATTTAATTATACAATAATAAATGAATAATAAAACATTTAATATTTTAGATATTTCTTAGCAAAAGATCTTAAATATTGTGTAAAAACAAGCAAGCTCTACTTCACTTTTTTCCAACATAAATTTTCTTAAAAAAAAACAAAAAACAATTAACAAGTGCATTACAAGTTTTTAAAAAATTAAAAAAAAAATATGCACAACAGTCTGTCCTCAGCAGTGAATACATGGAGCATGTTTAAACATATGTTATTGTAAGGAAAACAATTAAAGCATTATGATAAATAGAGTTAATGACCTTTTTGAATAAAAAGTTTACTGTTTTATTGAGATGGATTGTTGGTGATTGTATGGGGTTTGACCAGATTGAGCAGCAAAAAATGAACAAAGGAAAATGAAGACTTGTTTAAAAAAGATTTAAGACCTACAATACAACATTTCAGTAAATTTAAGACTTTAAGGCCTAAAATTTTGATTTTGTAATTTACAACCCCGCATAAACCCTGTTTAAACACAATAGCCCTGGTAATTAGTTTTTATAACATTAATTTAGTTCTAACTCAGAGAGAGAGAGAGAGAGAGAGAGAGAGAGAGTTTTAATTTTATTGCCATTTCAGCGTCTATGGCTATGTCATGGCAAAAGGAAAATAGATCAAGTAAAAATATTCTAACAATTAAAAGTTATCAACAGCAATAAATAATGTACAAGGTAAAACATATAAATAATAATGATAATATATAAGATAAAAATCTAAAACAGTTTTTTAAGATTTCCTTTTGATAAAAATTCTCCAACTTTAGATGGATTCACGTTTAAAAATATTTCCTTTAAAGTCTCTCCAGATAAATATTGTTGTCTGATGGGCATTCCACAAGAATATGTTTAACTGTTTGGTTTCTGTTGCAATAAAGGCATTTTGGTGGTTCTTCTCCTTTGAGTAAATGTTCATGTGTGAGTCTCGTGTGTTCTAACTCAGATAAAATCTGTAAGAACTAGTAACAACTACTAGAAACAAGTTTAAACCCATAAAGAAGTTGAGGGGGAAAAAGGGAATTGTGATCAACGTGACATATGCAAATGGAAATACTAAGCCAACACTATCACCGTAATAGCAGATATCTTTTATGAGAATACTGTAGGTCAAATATCGTCAGCTCAGTTAAACTTTAATTTATTATTTTTAATTAATTTTGTATAGCGCCTGTGCTCTCAAGAACTCTTTACAAACAGTAGAACAAGAAAAGCAATAACCTTAAGAAGGTAGAGAAAATGGGAGACTAATAATACATAAAAGAATGACAAAAGACATGAGAACAAGTAACAAAAGAAACTCATTCCTGTCTTTCAATAAGTGCTTATGTGCATTTTGGAGAACTAGGCAGCACACTCAGGGCTACAAGATGGATTTAATTTAGTATTCTTATTATTAAAATATATCTAAATGAGGATCAAATGACTGAGTTGGTCTTTGAGAATGAAAACCAACCTGTTTGTTCCTGCAGATCTTCCTGTTTGACTGTGAATGTTTCTTCAATCTCCACATCTTCACTCTCCTCTTTAATAAACGCCATCTTTATAACAGTGTGGAGATCAGTCGCTTCAGCAGGAGTTTTTCTCTGTGTTCGGACACTTCCTGTTTAAAATGAATAAAACAATGAACAGATACAAAAATAACTTATCTTCAACACTTGCTGCAACAGTTTCTTTATATGAGAGTAATTAAAAAGAAATTAAGTAAAAGAGTGAGTCCGAGCAAGAAACAATGAGCTGATTAAAAGTAGTACTCCGTTTATTATATATAGTGATGTATACTTAGAATGGAGTGATATTACGCTATTGAATCAAGTAAACCTTCATCATTAAGACACTTATTACACACTTTTCTGTTGCTTTATTCAAACAATATAGGTAATATAAACCATAAAGTTAGTTTTATATTTACACACTCGTTCATTTAGAAGTCTCTATATTATTTACCATGTTACTTTGAATATTCCATGCAAGTGTGAATTAAAAACAACTTTAACACTGTTTATTTGACTGTGAACAATGTTGTACTTTGATAGTCATTTGCTGCTAATATGATTTCACTATTTAGAGTTTGCAAATAATTCTTTTAGGAAATTATATTAAGTGGAAGTCAGAATGTGCGAATATAAAACCAACTTTACCTCTATGTAAAATAGTAACGTTGTATAAAGGGTTAAAATATATGTGCATTTAGGAGAACTACGCAGCAAACTCAGGGCTGCAAGATGGATTTAATTTAGTATTCTTATTATAAAAATATTTCAGAATGAGGATCAGATGACTGAGTTGGTCTTTGAGAATGAAAATTAACCTGTTTGTTCCTCCAGATCTTCCTGTTTGACTGTGAATGTTTCTTCAATCTTCACATCTTCACTCTCCTCTTTAATAAACGCCATCTTTATAACAGTGTGGAGATCAGTCGCTTCAGCAGGAGTTTTTCTCTGCGTGTGAACACTTTATTCTGTTTAAAATTATCAAAACAATAAAAATGTTCTGTTTAAAATAAATAAAACAATGAACAGAAACAAAATAACTTCTCTTCAACACTTGCTTCAACTGTTTTTTTTATATAAGAGTTATTAACAAAAATAAATCAGTTAAGTCCGAGCAAGAAACAAAAGCCACAAATGAGCTGATTAAAACCAGTACATCATCTCTTATATGAAGTGATGTATACTTAGAATGGAATAACATGCAGTTTAATAAATTAAATCTTCATTAAAATAATTACACACATCTCTGTTTACTTATTCAAACAATAGCTCTCATTACTGTGAGTAAAATAATTCTTCGTTGTATAAAGGGTCAAAATAATAATGTCAACAGCAGGTACATGATTAAGCATCGGATGAAAACCTGAAACTTTAATCAATCGCTTTATATTTAGGTAAACGTTTTAAAACACAAACCTTTGTCCAGTTAAATCCAGCGCAAGAGTGGCGCAGCCTTATGACGTCATACGTCACGCCAAAATAAAAGTCTTTTATTTTGTTTAGCTTTTTTTGCCACTTACTATTGCATTCATGACTTATTGATATTTATCTCGTTTTCTTCTTTACACTTGCTCTCTCACACACACAGAGACACAGATATTCATTATTTGAAGTTAAAAAAAAACTTTAACACATTTAGGGCAATTTGAAAAACGTTTTTAGGGTCATTAACACAGGGTCATTATATTTGATTTAAGAGATGAATATAAACTTTTTAACAAAACTACTAACTCGTAAAGCAAAAATTAAACCTGACTCCACATAACACAGAGATTTAAAGATTTATAAATGTATAATTGTCTGACCATAATTAATACTTAATTAATATCATTTATGTAGACTTATTTTATTTGAAATTTCTTTTATATTTTTTTCTATCTGCCAAGTGAATAATACCCTGATAAATAATTGACAAATTTATTTTAATGCTAAATCTCAAGCCCTGACATAGTTTTTAAAGTAGATAGCAAAATCCTGAGTGTAATAATACAATTTTTAATATCTTAAAATATGACAATATTTCCAAAATATTTTTTTAGGAAATAACTTACAGATGATGTCAGAGACTTTTTCAGAGTCCAGTCGTGGCTTAGCTGCTTTGCCTCTGAAGGCATTTGAACATTTGCCAGTGTAGCAGTGTGTACCAAGGGTGTTCCTTCCAAACACGGCTACTAGTAGATCTTTTGTGGCCTTTTTGGGGTCAGTGCAATTCACATGGGCAAACTGTTCACATGTGATTGAATTATTGGGGCCAGGTAATTCCAGACAGTTTTGATCAAAGTTCAAAATAAATGTATTTCCCTCAAACATTAGAATGTTGACAATAAACAAACTAATATGTTGTGCATTTTAGTAGACACACTGCAAATTTTAGATAGTAGATTTAACTACCTTGGAGTTAAAATTAACACTCCCTCAGAGTTTATTTGGGAACCACTATAAAAGTGTTAAAAATAACCCTTTTGAAAGTGTTAACATTATCAACACCAAGAGAGTGTTAATTAGCAAACTGTTATTGTGTAAAATATCTGTTAAATTTAGTAAAAATACCAGCAGCTGTGGTTGCCAGAATCTTTCTGTATACATTTACAAAAAATAACCATATTTCATGAACTGATACAATGTTCAGTTTACAAAATCATAGCTTAGTGCACAAAAATGTCATTAGATATATTAATATGTTCATGTGTGATTGCAACTAGCGACCAGATTTTGACTGCATTAGTAACTACAGTTACCTTTAAACAAAAGAAGATGCAGCATAACATCAAATACTTTCAGGTCATCTTGGCATTGAACACAGACGCTACTTTCCTCCACAATGGTGACACAAAAAACGTTTTTCTGTTTTATTTTTCCTTTCTTGATTTTACAGAAAAATACAGGCAGCTGTGGTTGCCAGTAATGTGCAGTTTTTAACATTTTGTATATGTAAATTCAGTTTACAGAATTATTTTTGTTGAAAATACATTCCACAGTCTTTATTTTTTTCTAACATACTTTTCCCCAACTGTTCACTAAAATCATCATCATGTACCACTTCAGCAATTTGCCTGGCATGTTCCTCTTTAGTTTTTAATTGGAATGATCCTGACTGGACCCCCTTTTCCTGGATTTCACACCTCCTGACAATTAAAAATCGACATGTGTGTGTTATCAGTGGAACTCTCCTGTAATCCTGCAAATGGAATGAGCACCTAGATTATCAGATGACAATACACTTCCTTTCACACAATCTACTAACTGTTCACTATATACACCATGTGTTTCCAAGAGTTTTAAAGTCTTGAACAAATGGGTGCAAGACAACCATGCTGTTTTACAATGCTACCCCCTGCAGTGGTGGATTATTGTGGGTGCAGTGGTGGGTTATTTTTCGTTGCAGTGGTGGTTCTTGGAACAGAAAGACGAACAGGACGATGACCAGATGAGGAATCAGGAAGGCTGGAGTACCTGGTCTCACTGTGACAGCTGTGAACTTAAAAAGGTGTATTCAGTAGTTCACTGTAGAACTTCTTAGTCAACTAAAGAGCTTCAAGTCAATTTAATTAATGGCCAAGCTTTACTGGTTTTAGATGAACTGAGAATAAATTTTCTGCTTAAAATAAAGGTGGCTGTTACTCCATCATTCTAAATAATCTTTCTATTTCTAATTATATCATCAAGGATTTTCAATGAATTAAAATCAGTTTAAATGAACAATTCAGTAAGTTGTTTTTACTGTAATTTATTTAATTTACTTTCTGTAATAAAGTTGTTTGGTAAATCTTTTACAATAAATTTTAAATCTTCATCTGTGTTTTGTGAAACTTTGATAAAAATTAAAGTTTAAAATAATAATTTTCTAAATAATTTGCAATACTTTAAACATAAATACATGTACAATGTTAAAAAATAATCTTGCAATGTTATACAAATTATTACTTTGAACTTTCTTTTTAATTATTGTAAGAATCATTGTTAGTGATTTTGTACCAATAACATCAGATCATAGAAAAACAGCAGATCTCCATGCTGAAAATGCAGCTTTGAATCACAAGAATAAAAGACATTTAAAATGACAATTATAAAGAAAACAGTTTGTACTGGCCTCACTAACACTGGCTGCCTGACTGTTCAGTCAGCAACATAAAAGCATAAAGAACCACAGATGCAGTTTGAAGATCTGTCTTTTTTTGGTCCTGATTCTTTTTTGTAAAACAGTGAAAATGAAATAAATCTCTTTGACTCTCTCATATAAATCTTGTGCAGTGTGTTTTATCACATCATAATGTTCTCCTGATGAAATCAGCCATCATGAATGAGCAGCTATACAAACAAAACTATATTCTTTAACAGAAAAAATTGTTACATTTATCAAATCAGTTTACAAAAAATTGTGCTTACAGGGTATTACCCTTGATGGAAATATCTAAACTATTAGCACAACCCTTTAACGCTGTTTATTTCCAAATGAAAGTGAAATTGAAAGCAACACTTTCCGCTACCGATATCAACCAGCAGATGGCGCTAAACACCACAGAAACTCAAGTCCATTTATTATGTGCCACACATATTACCATTTGCCTTGATTCAGTCATACCCAGGCACGTGCACACATAGGGCTCAACCTGTGCAGTGCACAAGCCCTTTTTAGTCTTGGATAGAAAGTGCCCTTCCAAAATGATCAAAAGTGCCCCCGCGACGCGACACACCGTTCGTCCCGCCCTTCAGTAGGCGCACGACAACACTGATCTTGAGTATGGGCGCTCAACCCCCCCTTCCCCGCTTTACAGTACACGCGCGACAACACAGCTGATCAGAACGCGCGCGACAACACAGCTGATCAGAACGTGCGCGACAACACAGCTGATCAGAACGCGCGCGACAACATCACTCTTCAGTACGCAAGCGACAACAAACCCCCCCCCCCCCAATTTAAAAAAAAAAAATTTAACTTTTATGTTTTTTTTTTAGTTTTTTTTAAAATTATTTTAAAAAACAGCTAATTTCAGCTGACAAAATTTTTTAAAGATTTTTGAGGCGGGATCAAAATCGGCGACGTAGCGCAATATGTGCTACATGCCTTCCGAAGGCAAGACAGACCTGCCAGTGCGAAGCTGTGAGATCCTACATTGATGGGTGAGACTGCGTCCACAGACCCACAGCACACAGTATTTAGCTGTTCATGAAGGCTCGTATGTGTTTGTTATCATGATCCACAGTGTTTGATGCATGTTTTTCCCTAAGATCCTGTCAGGGCCAATACAGCAAAGCTGTGTGTGTGCAGCAAGCATTTTTGACGAAAGAGCAGTACGAGAATTGGAGAATGGCGGACATTGTCTTTTATCAGGAGTTTGTTCACATTTAGACACATCGCCGTGCTGTTGTGTTCGCCTAAATCCTCTAGATTACCAACAGGGCTAATGGTTGAAATAGACAGGGCAAGAGACCTGCTGCATTGAGCCTGCATTCAGACCAATGACTGTAAAAAATATGGACGACGCGACAGCCCTTTTTCCCATTGAACGCCTTGAGGGCAAAACGCCTGCTTGATGGGCACAAACTGTCGCAAAAGACTGCTGAAATTGGAGCCAGACATGCGCAGAAGGACTGTCTGATGGAGCCAGAGGAGGAGCCGCGAAAATGAGCTTCCAATCAAACGCTTTATGTAAAATCAACTACGCCCCCCGAACTTCTCAGCATGCGTTTGCTGTCATATCAACACAAATGGATGTAATAACGTTAACAAATATGAGGGTTTTATATATTCAATCGTGCCAGCTCCAGGCCGCAGCGCATAACTTACTCGCGGCGTCGCGGGCTGATTCCGGCTCGCATGCCGCAGCGCCTGCTCGCTCGGCCGCCGCATCTGGCTCGATTGACTCGGACTGGAATCGGGCAGTGAGTCCAGGCATCCGGAGTATGTCCAGCAGAGGTAACATTAGTCAGTCTGAGCTCTAAGAGATAAGTCTCCGGCAGGCGAGAATCTAGCCGGAACTGTGTTTTGCTATCTGGGTGGCTAGGCGTGTATCAGCAAACTAATAAAGCCCGAAAAAAGCCCTGAACTTAGCGAATAAACAGTGTTCCACCAGGATCATGTATGTCAGAAACTATAGTTTACTGCTGAACTCATTTTGTCATGGTAAAATAACACAGAAATCAAATAATAACATTTCAGTCTACCTCAGTCTCCTGCCGAAGCTCAGACGCCGCGCTTTGAGAAACTGTCAATCACAGCTGTCAATCACGATGACACGCCCAGCATTAAATTACTGCTAAAAACAAACTGTTTACAAAAATGAAGATCTGCACCTATTTCAGCACAATAACCAGTGCCTTAATCGACCAGAACTATCTTTCGGGACATTTTATTGCAAGTGTAATATTTTTTTTTATTTGGGCTCAAGTCTCCTTCATTAACACGGAGGAGGCGGGCTTTATGACTTGTACTGCAGCCAGCCCCCAGGGGGCGATCTAACGGCCGAAACCTTCACTCAAACGTAGGCTTGCGGCACACTTGATTCAGACCTATGGTTTAGACAAGGGGATTAAGGGAAAAGTCTTCAATTATAGAGTTTATATGAACATGATTATCTTTATAATGATATAAATTGTGGTTATGTGTATATGAAATTACGAATAACAAATGTAGCAGGGCATTACATTACTGTTTATTTCTTTGCATTTTAACTTTATAAACTATAAAATCACGCATTTCATTCTTTGAGCTAACTGACAACAGTTGTTCACTGCCCTCCTTCTCCCCTGCTGGACACGCCCACTCCTGCCCTTTGCTCGCGGAGCAAAATCGGGAATCGAATGGAAGCCTGGCTCAATAACCCACACAATTCAAAAGAATGGAACCAGTTGTGAGTGTTTGTGATTGTGAGGTATAACCAATAAAGAGAAAATGATCACAATGAAAATTGATAAAGTTAATGAATGTAAAAATGATTGAGAAATAAAATCGACACATGCAAGTGTGAAAACATTACACAGAGTTGTGCAGTTCCCAGAAGTTCCTGATGCCTTTCATGCGAATTCTTTCAAAACAGCCACATCAACACTACAAGAAGTAATGGCTGCATTATTGCTTTTTGCTTCAGCTGATGTGATGGAACTATTTATACATTATACATTTAACAAAACATATTGTTTTACAAAATTATCTCATATATGATTAAGTCATTCCTGGCATCCTGTAATATTTCAGTCAGTCCCCCATATTTTTTTATAGTTGTTGTCGACTAAAATTACATGTTAAAAGCATTTTTCATTGATCTACTTTGTACATTTTAATGAATAAAAAAATACATTAAATGCAGTTTTAGCATAAAAAATATAATATGTCTGTCACAAACCAAGCTATTTGTCATGCCCCCGAGGCACTTCTTTGAAATTGCATGTAGACACAGTGTTTAATTTTTTTTAGTATTACAACTATTTATTTGTGTTATTTACTTGTGATAAATAAAAAATAAAAAATAAGATTTTTTTTTTTATAAAAAACAGGCTACAAAGTTATGTCCCTCAATATAAACTCAACCCTGTCACACCAAGCCAGTACTTTGGCAAGAAGCTTAGAATCTATATTTAAAATAGATATAGGCCTATAAGAGGAGCATTCATCAGCTGGTTTACATTTTTTATGAACCAAGGAAATATTAGCTTCCATCATTGAAGGGGGAAGGACCCCGTTTTCAAATGAGTGAAGAATCATCTCATGTAATGGGCCAGATAAAATACTGACAAACTTTTTTAAAAAACTCTGCACTGAGACCATCAGGACCTGGTGCCTTGTTATTAGGGAAAGATTGAATACAATTCTTAAATTCACTGAGAGTTAATGGAGCGTCTAATATCTTTCTCTGGTCATTTGAAATTTGAGGAAGAGATAGGTTTGTAAAAAAAAGCTTCCATATTAATTTCCGCACTATAATTAAATTGAGATGTGTACAATTGCTCAAAAAAGATTCTAAAACTATTATTAATTTCCTTATTATTATAATTCAAAGAACCATTCAAATCTTTAATACAAGGTATATTTTGAGTAGATGTCCTAACCCGCAAAAGATTAGCCAAATAGCGATTATGTTTATTAGCAAATTCGTACATTCTTTGCTTTACAAAGAACATTGATTTCTCCGCCTTTTTCGTAAGTATCGCTTCCAATGCAGTTTTTGTTATTTGTATGTCACATCTAGGGTTGTAACGGTATGAATTTTTCACGGTATGATAATCGTCTAAAACAATACCACGGTTTGACGGTTTCGCGGTATACGGTATGTTACAAATGTTACAAAATAATAGAACAGTGAAGCAAATTTGACTTTTTCCAAATAATATATTTTCAGTTACTATAAACAACACCACTTACAATGAACAAATAAAAATAAGAAAATAATAAATAATGTGTCAAAGTCCAAATAAAGTCCAAATAAACATGGTGCAAATCCTCAGTAAAAAATAGATATAAATATTTACTATACTATAAATAGTTACATAACGAAACTAGATTCAATATGGAACATCCTTAGGTTTTATGTGCCAGCATGGATATGGTTGTCTATCAATATGGATTTGGATATGGTTGTCTGCAATGCAGACAAACAGCTGCATCTTCATTTGCGTCTTTTGAAAACAGCAAGAGCAGCAGTTCGTCTTTGCTGTGTCACTGTTTTGTCATGTTTCTGTGCTGCTGTGCATGCAAAAGTACTTAGTATGAGAATTATTTCATGCAAAACTTTTTTTTGCGTTTTATTTAGCCGCGCATAAATGTATGCCTATCTCTCATTCCGTGTTGTTCAAAAAGCTTGGTCCACAAACAAAAGCGAAACCTATGCTTATTGGTTGTGATATAGCGAGTTTAAACCAATCTGGGCATGGAGGAGGGACAATGCATCAATGTATCATGTCTGATTTGTCCGGAGACACAGTGACGAGCGTTTCTTTGTCAAATCAGCGTTGTCAAATGTTGATGACGTAACCACACTGATTCTGGAGCCTCTGAAAGTCCGCGAATGTTATGTGATACAGCACTGGAAAGCTGAGATTCTCTTCTTTATGCCAATCTTTGAATTGTATGAATCGGATCAGCGGATCAAAAGTTATTAAACATTTAAGACTTATTAAACTTATTTTTAGCCGCGGGCGGCTGTCTCTGTCTTTAAGGAGACAGAAAACCGTTAAAGGTTAAAACCGTTGATATGCAATTGTTCATGGTATGATAATCGTGCACGTTCAAATCGTGGTAAACCGTCATACCGGTATATTGTTACAACCCTAGTCACATCTTAGTTCATCTGAGGGAGATAAATTATATCTGGCCTGTAGATCATGTAGTTTGAGCTCTAAGTTTCTCTGTTCTCTTCTACTTTTTTCCTAAGCCCAGCTGAATATGATATAATTAAACCTCGAGCATATGCTTTTGCTGTATCCCAAAGTAACCCTGGGGAAACACCCGGAGTTTTGTTTTCTACAAAAAAGTGATTCATCTGTTTTGTTAAAAAAACTTTAAAATTAGGGTCAAAATTTAGGTATGAATTATACCTCCATTGTTTATTAGGGAGTGTCAAGTTACTGAAATTTATGCCTATACAGACAGGTGCATGATCGGATATCAAAATATCCCCAATATTACAATACTCAACTTTACTAACAGAAATTTTGGGGGTAAAGATCAAGTCAATTCTACTACTGGTTTTATAAACGGCTGAATAATATTTAAACTCCTTATCATTAGGGTGTAACACCCTCCAAGTATCAACCAGATCAAGTTCTTTGCAGGTATCCAAAACAGCTTTGGCTCTATTCGACATCTGACCATGATTTTGTGTTGTTTTGTGTGTTATCTACTACTGAGGAGAAAAAAACAATTAAAATCAACTGCTATAACTGTGTTGTCACAAAGCCAATCCGCAAATTTTGAAAAAACCTTAGAAATAAAATCTGTGGTCTGAATAGGTGGAAAATATATATTTAAAACTGAAATGTCTTGCCCATAAAGAGAGCCTCTTAACATAATATATCTTCCCAATTTGTTTGAGACCGTTTTAACTTCAAGTAAGGGTAAACATTTATTAATTAGGATGGCAACACCTCTGCTTTTGGTAGTAAAAGAAGAGCTAAACACCTGTCCGTCCCAGTCACGTTTTAACTTAGCGTGCTCAGCAGACGATAAATAGGTTTCTTGTAGAAGGGCTATATGGACCTGTTCTTTCTTTAGAAAGCTAAGAATTTTCTTTCTCTTAATAGGATTGTGTATCCCTCTCACATTCCAACTACAAATTTTTAACGTTGAGTTACTAGACATTACAGTGAGAGTAAAAAGTATTTGATCCTTTGCTGCTTTTGTTGGTTTGCCCACTAATAAAGACCTGATCATTCTGTACTTTTAATGGTAGATGTATTCTAACATGGAGAGACAGAATATAAAAAAGAAAATCCAGAAAATAACTTTAAGGAATATATATTAATTGATTTGTATTTCATTGAGGGAAATAAGTATTTGATCCCCTAGTATGCATTAGGAGTTCTGGCTTTCACAGACCAGTTAGACACTCCCAATCAACTTGTTACCTGAATTGAAGACACCTGTTCTAACTAAACACCTGTGTGAAAGACACGTGTTCACAGAATCAGACAATCAGACCAAAGACCAAAGAACTCTCTCAGGACCTCAGAGACAGGATTGTTGACCTGCACAAATCTGGAAATCTGGGTATTAAAGTAACAACAACCATTGGTGCAATTGTGAGAAAATTTAAGAAGTATAACCTGACCATCAATAGACCTCGGTCTGGTGCTCCACAAAAGATTTCACCTCGTGGGGTGGCAATGATCATGAGAACTGTGAGAAATCGGCTGCAACCACACAGCAGGAGTTAGTGAATGACCTCAAGGCAGCTGGGACCACAGTCACCAGGAAAACAATTGCCTACACTTTGCGCCGCAATGGATTAAAATCCTGCAGTGCCCGAAAGGTACCCCTGCTTAAGAAGGCACATGTGAAGGCCCGCCTAAAGTATGCCAATGATAACCTCAAAGATGTACAAAGTGATTGGGAGAAGGTTCTGTGGTCAGATGAGACCAAAATTGAACTATTTGGCCTAAACTCTACTCGTCATGTGTGGAGGAAGAAAAATGCTGCCTATGACCCCAGGAACACTGTACCCACCGTCAAGCATGGAGGTGGAAGCATTATGTTTTGGGGTTGTTTCTCTGCCAAGGGCACAGGGCTACTTCACCGCATCAGTGGGAAGATGGATGGAGCCATGTACTGTGCAGTCCTGGGGGACAACCTCCTCCCCTCTGCCAGGAAGTTGAAAATGGGCCGTGGTTGGGTCTTCCAACATGACAACGACCCGAAGCATACAGCAAAGGCAACAAAGGAGTGGCTCAAGAAGAACCACATTAAGGTCATGGAGTGGCCCAGCCAGTCTCCGGACCTCAATCCAATTGAAAATCTATGGAGGGAGCTGAAGGTCCGAGTTGCCAAGCGACAGCCCACCAACCTTAATGATTTAGAGAGGATCTGCAAAGAAGAGTGGGCCAAAATTCCCCCTGATATGTGTGCTAACCTTGTGGTTAAGTACAACAAACGTCTGTCCGCTGTGCTTGCAAACAAAGGCTGTGCCACCAAGTATTAGGTGCTTTTGGCTAGAGGGATCAAATACTTATTTCCCTCAATTAAATACAAATGAATTAAAATATTTTCTTTAAAGTTATTTTCTGGATTTTCTTTTTGATATTCTGTCTCTCCATGTTAGAACACATCTACCATTAAAAGTACAGAATGATTATGTCTTTATTAGTGGGCAAACCAACAAAATAAGCAAGGGATCAAATACTTTTTACTCTCACTGTATGTGTCAAAAAATAAAATACAAAAGGAGCCACAAAATGAGAGAAAAAGCAGGGAAAAAAAGAAGAAAAAAAACAAGAAAAAAATGCAGGGGTAAAATCGTTCTTTTCACAATTTTAGAAGAATCAAGTAAAAACTATGTACATCAAAAAAATTGGAACAAAAAAAGAGCTATTAACAAAACGAAAAGGAGTCAGACTTTGGTCTGTTACGCCCATTTTGGGCGTCAGCTAGCTTCCCTCTAGTTATAGAGAAGGTGCAGGACCAGCACACGAAAAACAAGCAAAAAAATAAATTAAAAAAAAAACCTTTCTAAGGCTTCGATAAGCTACCTTTAGGTAACAGAAAAACTTCCGGACTGCAGCTCAGTCAAATATTGCGACATAAATGGCAATGAAAAAGTAATCACATATGGATCTGTCAGTATTAAAGAAACCATACTAAATTTTCGATAATAAATTGTTATAATAAAATGTAGACCTCAAACGAAATGTCCGATCTCAACAGCTAAACCCTCTAAAACCATACTGGGATGGGGAAAGGATGCTCAGTCAGTAGCAGTGCGGTCAGGTGAGCCGCTCTGTAGTGGGGCAGACGCCAGAAATGCTGTGACATCCTTTGGGTCCTTGAAAGACCTCTCCTGACCGTTCACCTTGACCCTGAGAACTGCTGGATACAACATGGCAAAGGCAATACCCTTCTCTTTAAGCTGCTGTTTAACATGGTAGAATTCCTGCCTTTTCCTCATTACCAACACAGAAAAGTCCTCAAATATCATAATTGAAGCACCGTTGTAGGACAGCGTGCACGTTTGTCTCGCCGCTTGCATGATCCGAAATTTATACTGAAAGTTGTGAAACTTTACGATAACTGCTCGGGGTCGCTGGCCAGGCGGTGGGCGGCGAGTGAGGGCGCGGGGACATCGATCCAGTTTAACATGCTCACCTTTGAAACTGACCTGTAGCAGCTCTGGTAACCAGGATTTGAAAAAAGAGATCGGATTACTGCCCTCGCATCCCTCTGGAAGACCGACGACCCGCACATTGCATCTTCTGTTTTTGTTCTCCAGATGGTCTATTTTTATACAGCACGGCACCAGTTTTTCCGCGAGATCAGTAAGTTTCGCACCATAGGTGGTCATCGCATCCTCGGAGTCTGATACGCGGCATTCTACCTCAGTAATTTGCGTGTCCAAAGTCCCAATTTTTGAGGAACATTCCTCAAGTTTCTTAAGAACAGGGTCGATTTTCTTTTCAAACTAGCTTTTGACACCTTTAAGCACCTCTGTTGATATTCTTTCTACCAAGCTGTTTCAGCTACGGCTCAGCAACGAGTACGCCTGGTCCGCCATGATCGTTGATTGACTGTCCTCCTGAGGCGATTTAATCTCCGTCGATTTAGAGGTTTTTGCCGACAGATTCAACTTCTTCTGGGTAGTGGGCATGATCGTATGTCCATTCACAAGGTCTTAAAGTATGTGCCGTTATATGTCTTATTTTATATACTAAAAATATACCACTGAGCTGCGGAGACCAAATGTTGAGCTGCTACTCCGCCATTACCGTCACGTGACTCCGAAAAAAGATTCTGTCATCTTGATGAACGAGACTCAAAGATCCAAGTAAGTAAAATGATACGAACTTTCCATCACTACTTTCCAGTGTGAAACGTCTGGTGCAGTTTTAATTTTAGAGCTGTAATAAAAGTCTTCTCACACTCAAAGCACAAATACTCTTTCACACCAGTGTGGATCTTAATGTGTTCATTAGGGTTTACTGATTGGTTGATACTCTTCCCAAACAGAGTGCATGTGAATGGTTTATCTACAGTGTGGGTCATCATGTGTTTATTAAGGTCTGAGGAGTTGCTGAAACTCATCCCACACCGAAGCTGTGGGTTTCTCTCCGTTGTGGCTTATCGTGTGTAGATAAAGGAGTGATGGTTGTCTGAAACTCTTTCCACACTGAGTGCATGTGAATGGTTTCTCTCCAGTGTGGATCCTCATGTGTTGATTAAGGTGTGATGAGCGGCCGAAACTCTTCCCACACTGAGTGCATGTGAATAGTTTCTCTCCAGTGTGGATCCTCATGTGTTGATTAAGATATGATGAGCGGCCGAAAATCTTCCCACACTGAGTGCATGTGAATGGTTTCTCTCCAGTGTGGATCCTCATGTGTTGATTAAGGTATGACGAGCGGCCGAAACTCTTTTCACACTGAGTGCATGTGAATGGTTTCTCTCCAGTGTGAATCCTAATGTGTTTATTAAGGGATGATGAGCAGCTAAAACTCTTCCCACACTGAGTGCATGTGAATGGTTTCTCTTCAGTGTGGATCCTCATGTGGTGATTAAGTTCTGATGAGCGGCTGAAACTCTTCCAACACTGAGTGCATGTGAATGGTTTCTCTCCGGTGTGGATCTTCATGTGTTCATTAAGGTATGATGATTGCCTGAAACTCTTCCCACACTGATTGCATGTGAATGGTTTCTCTCCAGTGTGAATCATCATGTGTTGATTAAGCAATGATAACCAGATGAAACTCTTCCCACACTGAGTGCATGTGAATGGTTTCTCTCCAGTGTGGATCATCATGTGGTCATTAAGGTGTGATGATTGGCTGAAACTCTTCCCACACTGAGTGCATGTGAATGGTTTCTTTCCGGTGTGGATTATCATGTGAATCTTAAGATTGCCATTTCCTCCAAAACTCTTCCCACACTGAGTGCAGGTGAAACGATTCTTGTCTCTCCTTTTCAAAATACCATCAGTCTGTAAATGAGTTTTGTCCTCAATTTTAACATGTTGTTCCTCCTCTTTACTCCCCTCACTCTCTTCAATTAGGTCTGAAAAAAAAAAAAGTTTTCATTAAGTCTAAAAAACTCTCATCAAAAGCTGAAAAGTGAAAAGACACTGGAAACATTGGCTACACACATTGTATTTCTGATGCACATTAAATGTGAAATAAATCAGATCATATTGTGTTTGGTCCATTAACACGTACACGTTTAAGCAGATTCTATTCAATTCATCTTTATTTATCTAGTGCTTTTACAATGTAAACTGTCAAAGCCGCTTAACATAGAACTTATAATAAATTGAAACGGTGTCAGTCCAGTTTTTAGAGTTTCTTACATAATACATCATAAAAGAAATTTTGGTCACATTGATAAGACACAGATTCGAAAGGTGTAAATGGTGTGACGACCGCGGTATTCTAGTTTGGATGTGGAAGATCCTGATTAGGTGCCATGGTTACTCCCCAATTGGTTCAAAGCATATAAATGCGAGAGTGAGCTAGCTTCTGTAGGATAGTGTGGCTACTGGCCGTCCTTGCATCAAGACCATCTCTTTATTTCGGCAACCTTATGGTTTTGTTTGACATTATTTATATGTGTAGTTAAAGTTAGTTATTTTCTTTATTTTCCCCTAGACATTTGTTTGTTTCTTGATTTGTTGCTTTATTAGTTGTGTATAATAAATAAGTTGCATATATAATTTTTTTGTTGTCTGAGCTCTTTTATGTTGCAACTCGAACGAGGGGGTCGTAACAATGGCCTATTTTTATTTGTTTATATTCATAATTACAACAAAATGTTTTTCTAACATTTGTTTAGCAGACAGGGAATACTATGGATAGAATACTATGGATAAGATACTGTGGATAGAATGAAAGAACCGACAGGGGAAAGCAAAGAAGGAGGTGTTTGTTTCTTTATTAACTCATGGTGAGATAAGAGAAACATACATCCAGTTAGATCAATTTGTTCTCCTGATCTGGAATACCTTATGCTTCGGTGCCAACCACACTGGCCACCCTCATGCCAACACACAGAAGGCGCTTAGGGAACTGAATGGGAGCATAAGCGAGCAGGAAACCACACACCCAGAGGCAGCATTTATTGTTACAGGGGACTTTAACAATGCCAATCTCAGGAAAATCACTCCAAAATACTATCACCATATCACCACAAACATGCGTGGTGACCGAATTTTGGACCACTGCTATTCTCCGTTCCGGGAAGCCAACAAATCCCTCCCCCGCCCACCGCTAAGCAAATCAGATGACTCTTTTGTTCTGCTCTTGCCTGCTTACAGACAGAAACTGAAACGGGAACCACCCACCCTCAAGACGTTTCAAAGCTGGACGGACCAATCGAGTTCCATACTTCAAGAATGTTTTGATCATGTGGACTGGGAGATGTTCCGGGCAGCTTCTGATGACGACATTAAAGTTTACTCAAGACACCGTTACATGCTTCATCAGAAAGTGTATAGAAGACATGGTCCCAACAAAAACTGTTCGTATCTACCCCAACCCAAAACCATGGATTGATGGCAAAGTTCGAACAGCCCTATCAGTGTGAACCTCTGCCTATAAATCCAGAAATGCTGAGGAACAAAAACAAGCAAACTACAACCTCAGGTAAACTATCAAAGCAGCAAAACATCAATACAGAGATACAAGGTAGAGGGGAGAAGTATGTGGCAGGGACTTAATTACATCACAAACTTTAAAAGTAACAAACCCGCCACTGTAAACATTTCTGCATCTCTCCTGGATGAGCTTAACTCCTTCTACACCTGCTTTAAAGCCCAGGACACCCACACACTGTGCGCTCCCGCGGCCGATACCGAAACCGCCAGCACACTCTGTTTCTGTAGCAGACGTAACGAGATCTTTCCGGAACATCCGGAAAGCTACGGCCCAGATGGCATCCTTGGACGTGTACTTAAAGCATGCGCACACCAGCTAGCGGGGGTTTTCACGGACATTGTTAACCTCTCGCTCTCTCGGTCTGTGGTTCCCACATGCTTTAAGACAGCTACTATTGTGCCCATACCGAAGTAATCTAAAACCACATGCTTAAATGACTGGCGTCCAGTTGCTCTGACACCCATCTTCAGCAAATGCTTTGAGAAGCTGTTTAAAAAGCACATCTGCTCTGTACTGCCTGCTCACACTGACCCTCTGCAATTTGCTTACAGGAATAATCGCTCCACTGATGTTGCAATTGCTTTCACCTTGCACACTGCTCTGTCTCACCTGGAAAACAAAAACACATATGTGAGAATGCTGTTTGTGGACTACAGCTCAGTATTCAACACTATAGTGCCTGCCATACTAGTGGTGAAGCTCCAAGCTCTGGGTCTACACAGCTGTATGTGCATCTAGATCCTGGACTTTCTGTCAAGCAGACGCCAGGTGGTCAGAATGAACAACATGACCTGATCCACACTGATGATCCACAGAGCTGTGTTCTCAGTCCACTCCTGTACTCCCTGTACACACGCGACTGTACAGCCACACACAGCTCCAACGTCATCGTTAAATTTGCTGATGACAGTGGTGGGCCTAATCACAGATAATGATGAGATGGCCTACAGAGAGGAGGTTTACACTCTGACGCAGTGGTGTGAGGAAAACCACCTCTCACTCAACATCAGCAAAACCAAGGAGCTGGGAGAAGAGAGAACACACCCCCATCACCATCAACGGGACACCAGTGGAGAGAGTCAGCGCTTTCAAGTTTCTTGGAGTACACATTGCTAAGGATTTGACATGGACTGCTCACACAGACGCAGTGATAAGGAAGGCACAACAACGCCTCTTCTTCCTCAGGCGTCTCAGGAGGTTTGGAATAAGCCCTCACATCCTCCGCTCGTTCTACACCTGCACTGTGGAGAGCATCCTGTGTGGCTGTATCACCACCTGGTATGGAAATAGCACCAGCAGCAATCGCAAAGGCCTACATAGAATTGTGTGAACTGCTGGACGCGTAGTAGGAGGTGAGCTTTCCTCCCATCACGACATCACCAGGCGGTGCATGAGGAAAGCCAAGTGAATTATAAGCGACTCCAGCCACCCAAGCCATAGACTTTTCTCTCTGCTACTCTTAGGCAAATGGTTCAGCAGCATCCAGTCGCGCACCAGCCGACTAAAGGAAAGCTTCTTCCCTCAGACTATCAGGCTGATGAACACTTAATACCCCTCACTGCACACCATGTATATGTGGGATGCACTGCACTTTAACCAATACATACCTAAAACAATACTGCCTACAACTATGGGTACACATATTCATTATACATATCGCTGTCAACAATTATAATGCTGCCAAATTATATTGTACTATCTGTATTTTGCACTGTCGTTATATTTGCACTGTCTGTATTTTGTACTGTCTAGAGCCAGCACCTAAGCTTTTCACTCATCATAGCACACGTGCTGCTGATGATGTGACAATAAAAGTGATTTGATATTCATGGCCATTTTTTCTTCATTGGCCTTTATTACAGCAACATTTATATATATATAAATATATATATTATAGCCATGACAGCATATAATCATGCAAGATACTTCTAAAAGATACACTAAACCTCGAGAAGACTCCTCTTCTGGACCAGGCACACCACACTCTATGCAGCAAACCAGTGGATGACAAGGAAGCGCCATGCGCCTTCGTGATTAAATGCCACTACTTTTCCGAAAAAGGATATTTTAAAGAAAGCCACTGAAATAAAGACAACAGTACACTGGGCTGTGAATGACAATACAAATGTTAATGTCGCTCTCCGGTTAACTTTTAAATAACCACTATAGCACATGTTGGTTGTTGTTATTTCTAGTTCTCAAGTATATTTTGTCAGTAATGGGGTCGATTTGTCATAAAACATCAAGAGCTGTTCAAATGGTTTTGTTTTATACGTGAGGTCCCACATGGTCAGCTAGCTAAGAGTGCGAGTAGGTGGAAGTGTGTGTAAGTTGACACCAAGGTTTCAATCTTGTGTTGTTTCGTGTTTATAAAAGTGTATGTGCGATCACACCTTTTTTTTTTCTTTTTTTTTTTCTTTCCTCTCTCTCCCCCACACATCCCCCTACATACAAAACCCACAGATACCTTTCGGGTGCTTCTGATGCTTCTGATAAATGTTTTCAACAGCACATAAAATGGGTGGAGTAAAGACAAACTTTACCAGTTGGAATGTGCAGAGGCTAAATCACCCAATAAAACGAAACAATTAAAATCAGTTAAAAACAGTTCAAATCCGATATTGTATATTTACAGGAGACACATCTGTTGAAAAATGACTATTCTAAACTGAATAGAGGAGGCTATACACAAATATATTATTCAAACTTCAATAGCAAAAGTAGGGTCGTTGCTGTACTCATACATAAGAATGTACAGTTTGTCATTGAGTCAAATGTGCTGGATAAAAATGGCAGATACATAATAATCCAAACTTTTAACATGTCTGTGGTCCTGGCCTATGTGTATGCTCCTAATTAGGACAATGTACACATTTTCAGTGATTTATTTTCAATTTTGCCTAGTCTTGACACACACAATATAATTTTAAGAGGCGAACCTCCTGAATTTTATTCACCTGTGCATCAAACCTATTCCAGGATTGACCATTTTCTCCTGGACAAGCAGTTACGTCCCTTACGCCCCATTCACAAGGGGCATCAGCGTCAACGCTTCCCGTTCACTTTGAATGGGTGACGTCAGGCGTTGCCGAACTGCATTGTGGATTCGTCGACGCTGCTTCAGAGGCATTGTTCGCTGCAAAAGTTGGGACTTGATCAACTTTTCAAGCGGCGATGGAAGCATCATCCGACAGATCGCTGTAAGCAAA